TCTAATGGGGCCTCTGGGTCTGCAAGCTGCCTTGTTGGCCCAAGGGGGGTTGAGTGCTCAGCCTTGAGAGGGACTTGACAGAAACAGGTGATAAAGGACCAGGTAGAGGAGGGTTTGAGTGCGTGGGCTATCTTGCAGCCAACATCTGTTCAGCCTGCCCTGCAGACAACACAGTTCAGCCTGCTCTGCACCCAACAATTGTGGAATCTGGGTGATGAAAGGTTAATTTGGAAAAGGTAAAAAATGGATAGATGAAACAGATGTTTCAACAGATGTCAAAATCTTGATGGTTGTTGAAACTGGACACGGGAAGAGGAAGGTCCTTTGTATTTATCTCTATTTGGGGTATGCATATTATTTTTATAACATGAAAACAAAACAAAGAAGACACAATTCTAGAACACTGGTACATTTCTCATCATGGGGTTTATTTGGGCTGAGATCATGCCACATGTGCGATTTCAGGATGGACTGAGCCAACCCCACCCAGCGCTTGTCCTTTAGTGCTCTCTGAGCACAGGAAGAGAAGCTGAACTTTCTTTGGGGGGGATTCTGCAGTCTCACCCTCTTCTCCTTGGACAACTGCTAGCAAGAGCTCTCATACATGGCCCAAAACTAAGCAGCAATTTTCTCCTAAGGTGCAGTCTAAATTCTAATTTAGAAAGAAATCCTTTCCTAAGGCAAGCTTTATCTGAAGGAAGATCATTTTTGCCTGAAGAAATCATTCTTTCCATCATGCTGGGGAGAGGGTTAGCTTTCTGCAACCTCCCCCAGGGCCTCTGGCTCCTCCACAAGGGACTCTGCCTATCTTGATTTGCTGGATACTTGGTGTACAGGGGCTCTTTGCCTCCAGGGGACTTCAAGCCACCACATTTTTGTTTAATTATGGTAAAATACAAATAAAATTTACCATTTTAACTATTGTTAAACACACAGTTCAGTGTTGTTGAATATATTCACATTGTGCCATCTCCAGAACCTTCTTCATCTTGCAGAACTGAAAGTCTGACCCGGTTAAACAGATCCCCATGACAACCAGTTTCTGTGAATTGCTAACTCTAGGTTCTCATGTAAGTGGAATCATGCAATATGTATCCTTTTGTATTTAGCTGATTTTACTTAGCACAGTATCTTCAAGGTTCATCCAAGTTGTAGAAATTTGTAGCATCAAATTTCCTGCCCTTTACAGTCTGGGGGTGCAGCTCAGTGTAGAGCACATGGCATGCACAAGAACCTGAGTTCTATCCCCAGAACCAAAGGGGGAAAAAAAAACAACTTCCTTTTTAGGGCTAAATAATATTCCATTGTATGTATGCACCACATTTTCTTTATTCATTCGTCCTTTAATACACACTTGTTTACTTCTACATTTGGCTCTTGTAAATAAGGCCACTATGAACATGGGTGTACAAAACAACTGCTTCTTACAATGTAACGTTTTTCTCCCAAAGTTTCAAAAGTTCTAGGAACATCTTTCATCCCAGGTTCATGTTCAAGGTACTGGACGCTAGGCTAGCCCAATCTCACCACCAAAGAGCATATAAGCCTATGAGAGGAAGCAGCTCTGTTCAACATCACAGAGCCCAGACAGTGGGTGGTCCTTGCCTATTCCCTAGTTTACTTCTTTTAAAACAATAAAATTAAAACATACTGGCAATAGGCTAACAGTGGAAATGAGCTCATTCACCTGTTTCCCATTCTGCCAGGGCTGGCTACTATTTCATGGATAGCATTCGTGCTTTCAAAGCTTCATTCTAAACAAAACAAATGCATCCACAAACGAACATGCTTGCTTTGTTTCTGATAAAAGTTTACCTTCCCTGGGTGGGCATGGTGGTGCTCACCTGAAATTCCAGCTCCTCAGAAGGCTGAGGCAGGAGGATCCCAAGCAACTCAATGAGACCCTGTCTCGAAATAAACTACAAAATAGGGCTGGGGATGTGGTTGAGTGCCCCTGATTTCAATCCCTGGTTACCCCCCACCAAAAAAAAAGTTTACTTTTTCACTCAACAGTGTATCACCTTTTCATATAGTAGGAAGGTTTCAGAAACCTAGGGTATTTCCTATTTTTATGTTGTTACAAATGATGTTGAATTGAAGATCCTGACACATACACTCTTGCGTATTGATGTATTACCATAGGATAGAAGGGAAAATCTTGGGTCAAAAAGTATTTGGATATTTTAAAATGTGGTAGGTATGGCCAAATTGCCTTCCTAAAGGATTATGTTAATTTATCTGCTAGCTTTAAAAGATTTGCATTTATTTTGTCACATTTAGGACAAGCATTCCAAATATTCCACTTTGTCCATATTTGACCAAATACTTTTATCTTTCTACAAGTAAATCAGCATAACCTGTACTAGCTATTTAGTTAAAATCTGCTTAGAAAATCTCAGTTAAATTAGTAAAATCATCTAATTTCAGCAACTATTGTCTGCTTCTAGCCAAGGCAACTTTATTGGATGAAAATGTAATTGTGTATTTCTGCTCATGACAAATTTTGGAATTTCTTCTCTGGGTCAAAGTCAATCTTGCCAATATTTGCGTCTTTAATTTCAGGATTACATAAATATAATTTTTAAATACCAAGTCTGTTTTGAAAATAACTTTTGCCCTTTTCTATTTTTAATTTTTTAATTAAAAATAATTAATCAATTGACTTAAAAAAAATCAAGTCCTCTAAGCTTTTATGCCCATTTGCTTTGGAGAAATACCTGGAAAAATATATCCCCAACCACAATTTTAATCACCAAAGTCACTTGGATGGATTGTATACGTGATTTCACAATTATGTCTCAAAAATTAGGCACTGGGTTCCATCCTAGCACCACATAAAAACAAATAAAGGCATTGAGTCCATATACAACTAAAAAAAATTTTTTTAAATTATATTACAAATGTCAAGATTTCATCAAAGAAAGTCAAAAACTGTTCATGGCATGAAATTGGAAAATGGTTCTCATGGGCCACAAATGGAGTTGCCGGGAAGGAGAGGCCACATCATGACACTTACAAAGGTCTTTACTTCTTAGAAGAGCAGAAAGCCCGGATCTGACCGCTCTCGGCCGGGTGGTCCTCAGCCCGTCCCTGGAAGCCCAAGCCCGGGCTCCTTTTGTGTGCGTCCTGCGTCCTCTCCAGGCGTGTCTGCGTGGTGCAGGGCGCATCCGCGCTCGGGGAGGGCTGGGAGCGGCTGCCGGCTAGAGCAGGCTGGCTGTCCTCCGGGGGAGATGGCACTGGCGGATGCTCCGTTGTTAGGCGACTATTGATTTGCCTCACTCTGAGGATTCCAGGGGCACAGTGACCCTCCCTGCTGCCTGTCGCCTCCCTTCCTCCCGCCCGCCAGGGTGGCTTCCCGCAGCAGGATTCCTGAGGCTGCCGCTCCGCCCTCCTCTGCCTCTCAACCCTCTGGCGCCTGGATACCTGAAGTTATTAGGAGAAATAAGGTAGCCGAAGGGACCACATGGAAGTTGTGACAGCTCCCGGCGGCGCGCCCCTTTCTCGAGTGCCAGTTCCTGGGCTTGGGAATCACCGCTGACACGTTGAAAGCAGGAGGTCCCCCTACCAGCCAGCCTGCCGGGATGGGCCATTGCTGCTGCAAGCCTTATTACTGCCTTCAGTGCCTGGACAAGACGGTACTTTGCCTTCCCTCTCTCTCTTCTTCCCCCTCCTCCTTGGCCAGGGCAGAGAGAAAGCCGCCAGCCGACCGCCTCTGTCCCTCGGCTCCCCAGCATGCGTGTGCGCTTTGTTGGTGCCCAGGACCCTCCCTTTCCCCGTTCCAGGGTGCTGAATTGTGAGTGGTGTTCACAGAAACATTTGGTCTCACATACTCTGCAGTGCCTTACATAATTTGGTATTCTGCAGTCACCAATGGAACTGTTGCATTTTCCTGAAATAGTAGAAACATCTCAAAAAACCAAACTGTCAAGAAATCCTTGGAATATTCTTAATGCCTTGTAACATTCCTGGAAGACCTAAGATGAACGTCCAAGAGGGGATTGGAGGCTAGCTAGGCATGTTTTTTTCCCCAAGCTGGAACTTTGAAAGTTTCCTTCTCCACCCCCCCCATCCCCTACCCATAGCATAACCCTGTAGTTTGTATCCTTCATGTCAGAAAAAAACAGCACACCCAGGTATAGTTCTTCCTTCTGTAGTTCATCACAACAGAGAGTGGTGAATAACACAGAGATGAAAACCTGAAGAACCAGGGAGTCTGAGGGTGTGTTCAACGATTCACTAGAAGGAAAATTCACAGCCAGGGAACTGAAAATAGAGTATGCAGAGAATTGTATGGCAATTCCTGCACAAAAGCCTTTCTTTGCTTTTGACACTTGCCTGATCTGTGAGCTTACAGAGGGATTAGGATATGCTTTTAATTTCAACACTTGATAACTGTTGGCAAGAGCTCTTGTCTCTGTGATATATTTTATTATCATGCACATTCGAATTTCTCAAAGATGCATGAAATGGGATTTCACAGGGGGTGAAATTGCCTCCTTTCTACTCACGTGGGCATCAGCTAGTAGATAGCTTGGGGTATAGTATGTGACCAGGTGAAGGAAATATATATGGCTTAATTTAAAACTCATTACAGGGCCGTCACTGGGGAACATCTTACTTATCAGTTCTTCTTACGAACTTTGACCTAAAGTAGGCTTATATACCCACCCCAGAAAATTAAACTGATACCTTAAAGTCATTTGGTATTTTTGTTCCAATAGAAATAACCATTTCAGTGGGTTTGGCTTTTGCCACCCTGAGTATGAACCATATTTCTGTTTTAGCAAACAGAAATATAAAATATTTGCACCCAAACATCTGCAAACCCCACATTGAAGTGGTTAAGCCCTTTTGTAAGAGAAGTGGTCACAAAGAAGAGTCCAAGGAAGTATAACAATGGTTGTGATAAAAGGGAAAGATACGCCATGTGTACAGCAACAGTATAAAGTTTCTATTCCCAAGCCCTGATAGGAATGTCTGAGAAATAGGGTCTTTAAAATATATTTTCTTAAAGGCCTGAGTCTGTCCCCAATTGTCTTTCAAATCAAGTTCCTGAAAATAAATATCCCTGTATAATTCTTGAATTCAGAGGTTTGGGAAAAATAATCCAATGTTATTTTTTTCTCTTTAGCAGTGTGACGTTTAAGTAGCTTTTAAATGTTTTAGCCTTGAAACTAAATTCAGTACAAATTATTCTTCCTGGATGAAAACTTAAAGACTTATGCTATGCCTATAAACTTTTCCATTATGTGCATACTCCTATTTCTTGACTTTACTATATTTCAGAATAGTATTCCATTTGAGGTTTTATAGATATATATTCATAGGTGCTTTTTAAAGGAATTGAAGACTTTCTTTTTTAAAACAAGAGAAGGAATTGTTTTGTTTATTTGCTTGCTTTGTAGGATAACTTCACAGGCAGTCTCCCAAAATCATTTATTACTTGATAAGGACCTAATAGATCAGCATTGTGTATTGGGACAGTATGGGATTCCACTGAAGTCTCCAACTTCAGAACTCAGTACTGAAATGCCACAGTACCCTTCAGGGTCTTAATCAGCTTCATCTACCCCGGCATCAGCATGGTTTGAAGAGGGCGGTCTGATAAAACTTCTGTTTACCTTAGTCCAGCTTAATAACCCTTTTAAAAAGAACATTTCCTCAGCAATATATAGGTACAGAATAGAAATCCTTATTTTGAGAAGTAAAAATTTCTTTCTTTTTTTTTTTTATAGTTCACTCATAGTACAGAGAAAGATGTTTTGGAAAACATGGTGAGTTAGAGATACTCTTAACAGTCAGTTTCAGAGGTTGGACTAAGAAATAGGAATCTGGGGATGCTTCTTTCTTTAACATCTGTTTATTGGGACTGACATTTGTGGGGAAAACTAGAATCTTGTCTAGAGTATAAAATGAAAAAAAAAATTTTTTTTTGTTCAATGAACAAATGGTTTGCAAAAGCTCTTTGTGTTTATGTACCTCCAACTTATAAAACCCATTCAATTAGCAATATTTATTTCTGGTTGATTCTGTCCCTTGTTAGTATGGGAACTAGAAAAGTATTCTAAAAAGGCACTGTCAGTTATTGGTTTCGTTGTACTTCTAGCTTTTCCAGAGAAACCACAAGTTGGCTAGGCAACAACAGTGCATACAGAGCACTTGATTAAACAGTAGAAAAAGTCTGAGGAAGAGTAGGTGAAAGTTCTGTGATTCTGTTCATACTTGTTTCTGATCCAAGGAAAAGCAAGTACAGCACCGTGGACTAACTTTCTTGGAAAAACAGGAACATGAATTACACTTTAAGCTTGGGGTGGAATTTTATTGAACTCGAGAGGAGAAGAATATAATTTCAAGCAAGGAGTGCATGAGGAAAAGTGTTTTCACCCAATTGGATGACATACAAGAGGGCAAACACAGTAGGAAATACAGCACAGAGGGAGCCTGAGGGGATTTTCAGAAAATTTCAGATTTTGGTCTTTTAACTTGAAAATAATTAATTAAAAAGTAGGGATTTATCTTGGGGTTTTGAGCAGAACTGAAATCTGCAGAAATATTCCTCGGTATTATGTTGAGTTAAAAGGCATGACCCAGGAATTCTGGCCATTGGAACATCAGGATGGATCCCAAAGAGTCCCTTCACCATGGACTCAGTGTGGTCCAGGATGAAGCATGATGCTGTATGTACCAAAACTTCTTAACTTCCCAGAAGTGATGGATTTTAGGAAGGCTGAATTATTAAGAGAACTAGATGTACCAACTAGAATGCCAACCTGTTTTTTTTTTTTTTTTAACAATCAGAAGTATAATTCAACAAGCAAATGAATGGCAACAAGCCTGTTATTTCTTTTTGGAATCAAGAGTCTAGCTTTGAGAAGCTCTGATATAAATAGAATCTGAGCCACAAATCATGTTATTGAAGAATCCAGTGGCTTCTGGCCTCAGGGGCCCATGACCATCCCCCACGCCCCCTTGCCTGACATGCACTTGAGAGGGCTGCGTGATTACTCTTGGCCCTGGTGACTGTCTCTTCTAAGCTCCTTTGCTGGCCAACTCTCCTTGTAATGGATTTGTCCTTTCTCATACTGTCTTAACAGATTGAGCATGTTGCCAGGTCTTGCTGGGTTAGGATCTATCCTGAGGCCTGTAGAAGCTACTTGCATATCTCTAAACTAATCTGTCAAAAAAAACTTTTTATTTTTTAATTTTTTCTAATTATACATGGCAGTAAAATGCATTTTTGACACATTGTATACAAATGGAGCACAGCTTCTCCTTCCTCTGACTGAACAGGGTGCAGAATCACACAGGTAGTTGATTATAATCTTGGTTACAACTAGAGCTAATCTTATCTACCTTTTCTTTAAATTCTTGGTGGAGGTGGGAGTTGAGACAACAACCTCTCTGTCCCTCCCAGGGATGTGTGGTGCTCTGACAGTAATGCATTTGGGAAGGTGATTAGAGACAGGTAGGTCCAGAAAAGGTCAAGAACTTCTTCAGTGCAACATAAATAGATTAAAAATCATGGTTTGGGCTAATTTTCCTTTCTTCCACACTTAGGGACGTAGAATTTCCCAATTTCTCAGCATTACTTCCTTGGATTAGCATTCTTTCCCCTTGGCCCTATTAATCTCTGTCCTTTCCAATTGCTCATTAGTAATCCAGATATGGATTTCTCTTATATCTCAGATACGATATTGCCTCATTACCTACAGGCTCTTAGGTAAACTAGATGTTTCTGTTTAACCAGGGACTCTCCCCAGTGTACATGAGGTCGAAGGTTAGAATTTCTGAGTTTAGTCATTTTTAGTTCTTTTAATACAAGATTTGGCTTTGCTTGTTTTGCACACAATTAGACATTTAAATGTATTGAAGAGCATTAAATTTGAATGATATTTTGCCTTTGATGGATTTATATTAAATTACATTTCAAAAGCAAATCATTATACAAAATTACAGTGGTCTTAGAGTTAATTATATGTGAAAGAAATAATACTTATTGATGAACTGAGACACAGTATCAGTGCTGCCTTCAAGCCATAATAACTAAAATGAAAAATAAAAGGTCAGTCTACCTCCCAAGGGTTTTTCCCACAGAGCCATATTATGAATCTGGCCAGTCTTCATAATATTCATATTGAAAATGAATGCAGTAGTCACAAAGGTGCCCTGAAAACAGCTCTGAAGATGTATATGTTCTGCTGACGTCACCTTGTGGCTGGCTCATTTAGAAATATGAAAGCAAATATTTCCTTAGTAAGACAAAGTTGCACTGTGTTGCAATAAACCCTAACCTAAATTCAAGGTTGAAAAGCAGTATTGTTTCAGAGAAGAAAGAAAACTTCTTAACCTCTATGCCATTTAGTATGTGTGTATGTCGTGTGTGAATTTTTAAAATTCACAATAGAAAGAATGCATGTATTTCCTCAAATGCCAGAATTCCATAAACTTCACATTTTATCCCTCTTTTGTTTGGCTTTGAAAAATATGACAGAGGTTACATGGTTGGATTTTCCTGATCTGCACTGATTTCAGAGCTAAAAATATGAAAGGATAATTAAGACAGTCCTTTGGCTTACATTTGTAAACTTTCTTTCCTTTTCTTTAATATGTATGTGCATAGATACAAACACACACA